ATGCATCATTTTTGTCATATATTTTTAATTAAGTAAAATATATAATTTTACCTGGACGATATCACGTTGATGTGAATGATAGAGTATATAGCTGGTAATCCTGAAAAACAATGAAAAATACATGACGTAGCAATTATTTCTAAGACTCGCATTTCAAACAGCATTGTGGTGAACTCAACTGGAAAATAAACATCAATAAAACCTAGTTGTTGTTTTTTTTATTATTTTCCACTAGTGTAGACGAATATAATAATAATATAATCTGGTGGATTACACTTCAGTATTATTGTCTTAAAATATTACATAAATAATGGTATCTATAAATTATTTTTTTAATACTCTACCTATTTCAATGTACTATATACGCCGTTAGATTCATATTACAGTCGGTGACATTTTATGTTTTGGTCGAGCTCTGCAGTCCTTATTGCGGGTTGGTTAACGTTATTTTTTTATGGTTTATCGATTAAAGATAACACACATTTTCCTAATTAAAAATACACATTATAATAACAACCCCGAAATTGCGTAAAAAATATTTTATGTCTGACAAGTTGTACTTTATGCGCTTATGCTTGACCTATTGAACCTGAAAATACTATTCTTTTGAGGAATTTTATTTTGGAAATGTTTTTGAGTTTCATGCGCAATGTAAATTTTTTAATTCATCGGTAGTATGTGTGCGCACGCAATCTGACCCAAATTTACACTACTAACCGCGTACCTGCGTTTTACATATCTATATGTACTTATATAGGTACCCTATGTGTCATTAGGATGGCAGAAGCTTATGATAAAAATGTGGCTCTAATAATGCCTCATAAATATTTGAATAGGTAACTATATACCTACTAGTATCGATTTCATATATGAAAAAAAATCATTTTAATACCTCAAGTTGGCTTTATATTTTATATTGAACACGAGTAGGTAATGTTTTATTCATAAATCATTGTAATATATTATACAAAACAATCATAAACTGTAAGTGATCAAAATCACACTATTTAATTTTGTGGTTCAAAAGAATTCTACAAATAAAGTGATCAATAATTTAGTAGTTTATGAAACAATTTAAAACAATTTTTAAATATTACATGTATATTTTCAAAGTTGTTTAATTTTTGTAACTCAAGTAATTTTAATAAAAATATAATTCAAAGAATTTCCACTACTTTAATAAGTTCTACTGAAATAAATTAATTCCCAAGTTTCTAAAAATAAGATATACCTAAATGTACAATATTTTATTCCGATAGGTAATAAATTAATACAGTGCACTATATTATGTTATCGTCTATGACTTAAGGAGGACATGGCACCCGCATGTGTTGTCAAACAAGTGCGTAACATTTTACGTTCAACAAATCACGTTTAGTTCCGTTGGTTTGGAATTGATGGGTCTCTTATGCATTTTAAAGGTAAAATTATTATCTCAGCAATGTCATAGGCTTTTTATTATATTTTAATTTTAAAACAAGTTATGAGTATTTTAAAATTTAAAATTTAAAATTGTCTTTACATCTTAGAATACTCATAGCTTTAAAATTAAAATATAATAAAAAACCTATGCCATTTCCGAGGCAATAATCTTGCGTTTAAATTTTATAGGTGATCAGTTCACCCCAATTTTTAGCTAACGGAGCTAAACGTGATCTGCCGAGCATACAATTTGCTATATTACGCACTTGTGAGACGGAGACAATACACATGCGGGTTATTAATAGATTGGATTATACATTTATAACTGAATTCAAACATATAAATTATCTGGAAAATATTTTCCTTAGAATATTATATTTGTTTTTTGTTAGTAAATTAATTTATCATTTTCAAATTGGTATTAAATTATTAAAGCTACTTTGGGATGGACTGAGCGAATTAATTCACAGCATTATTAATAAGCAAAACCGTGCTTAAATGAAATAAAAGTTCAGTTATTTTTGAAAACGACTGCTTCCTTGTTCAATTCATAAATTTCTAATCTCGAAAGGTTCAATTTCGCTTTCGTTTATTGTATTCTGCAAGAATAATTTTTTTTAATTTATAATAAATGAGGCTTTTTCATTATCCCAAAAAATGTTATTTGTTTTACTTGGAATATAAAAATAATACAAGCATTTTAGTTTAAATGAACTGTGTTCAAGATGAAAACATACAATTCATTGTCAATGTTAAATAAAATAATACAAATCATGATAAACGCACTAAAATATTTATTGTTGAGTACATAATAAATATTTATTTTAAGTTCAATTAGTAATTGTTTTTTTTTTTTATACATAATATTTTCTCTTTTCAATCTCATAGTAAATAATTTAATATCCAGTCATCGTGACTGTAATTTGTTTTATACCATTTTAAATCCCGTATTTTTTAAAAGCTTGGCATTATGTTTTTGATTTGAAATTTAACGAATTTCGATTAGCAGTGAAGGATTATTCGTGTTGTAATAAGCCATGGGCGGGGCAAGCGTCCAAATACAATAATTGGTAAATTATTATTGTTAAATTAATCATTTATTGAAAATTAAATAACTATCGTTAAACCGTACAAAATCGACAATGTCATATTCGATTTTATAAAAAAAAAAAATATAAATTATTTGTACGCCAGCAATCAGCGTTAGTGTAATTTTTAATAATATTTTGATGGATATATCAAATATACCTAATACAATTCAAATAGATAAAAGTATTAAAAAGAAAAACATAAGTGTACATTTCGTACAAGTATCATTTACGAGTTGATCAATTAAAATTATAAACTATAATAATTACACTAGTGTGTCTTCATTAGTACGCTGTCGTTTCGACAATTTTTTATAACTTCACGTAGGACCCATAAAATGTTTACAATTAGTGGTTTTTCTATCCCTGAATACTGACCATTATGAGTTACTTAATTTTAAGAATAAAAACGTTCGTATACCGGGTGATAGAATTTCTACTAATTAGACAATTTTGTATTAAAATTAAATGTCTAGGCAATTTAGGTAACGTAGTATAAAACACATAAAATCCTTTAATATTAATACTCACTGTGTTGCCACTCGATACAAATAGTTCTACATACACAATACCGTATATAGCAATTGAATTCCATTATGAGTTGAATAGAATCGAATTTTCAATTTTCTTAATCACACGAATCGTTAACAAAGTTACTTAAATTAAATTACGTGAATCGATGAAAAGGTTGTAGCTTAATAAATATAAATGTGTATTGTGTATATATATTTTTTCCAAAAGGCAATTCCGTGCAACATATTGCTATCCACTTGAACTTTTCTCCAAAAATAATATAATTTATAGTTTTATCTATAATTAACATCCAAAATAACTTTTAGCATTTTATTGAGTACATAAAATGTATTTAATGTACTTAAATTATATATGTATCTGTGTGTGTGTGTGTGTGTGTGTGGTGTGTGTGTCAGTGAGAGTATATAATATGTGCTTATAAATTTACTTACAGTATTGAGATTAAACATATTAATATAAAATATATTACAAATAATATCTTTGTAAAATATATACAATGTAGTTTTTATTTAGGTTACCATAATATTTATAGTCTTATAAATAGTTTGCACATTTTGAACACAATCATGAAAAGGTTCAACATTTGTATGGCGTGGATTTTTCATATTTTAACCAGGGACCGTAACCTTTTGAATTTATCGGTGTCAGTTCTCCAAAAATAAAATAACGGTTTTCGGTTAGGTTCTAACCGAACTATTAAAATGTAACTATTATTATGTATGATTCTAATTTCAAATGACAATTTTTGATTAGAGTATTAGATATTTTATTAATCAGTAACATTTGTTTTTTACATTTCACTGCTGGGCTGGAATTATCACGATTTTTATTTACTTTTTGTACTAATGTGGTAATTTAATTTTTACTCATGAATCTTCAAAAATATATAATAGAAACAGGGTTATTTTCGTCCCTTACAATAATTCATTCAAATTATGATTTTCAGATTTTTTAAGTATATCTAAAGACCATATTTTCAAATTCCCGATATTTGTTGTACTACTTAAGGAGGGTTCCTGTGGTGATAGAAACATATGATTTTAAAATGAGAACCCCCCCCCCTATTTTTACTGCAAATTATTTAGTGGGTAACTTTTTTGAAAATGTTGATGTATCTAAATCGAAATTCTAATAAGTAGCTAATGAGTTGTTAAATTGTTTGTACTATATTATGGAATAAGGATAATAATCATTAACTATAATACTAAGTATGTTTTATGATATTATTGTTCTTAAAGACATTTATTTTACAATTCGACATTAGTAAAACACTGATATTATAGTGGGTAGGCCAGCTAAAAAAATTGCATTTGGATATTCCTAATTGTGAAATGCGACATTATAATATTATGGACTTTGTTATGGGTTTGTCTTTTACTAAGGGACCAACAATTTATTATAGTTAATAAAGACGAACAACTACCATATAACATATATTATTAATTTATTGTGTCAGTTACCTAAATACTCCAATCCAGGACCCAGTCGTAGTCATAATATTATCTTATTATTCATTCTGATTACTTATACGATTTTCATTTAATAATTCTCTTAGTAGGAGTAATACAGAAAAATATACTGGCTTGAAATACTTACTGACGAAGTTAATAGATTTTAATAAACCGTAAACACAATAGTGTAGTAACCACGTCATTATTGTACAAAAATAAAATACACGTCAGTATATATTCGTGTTTATATTCACAAATAAAAATCAGCCGGACTTTGTTAACTTTAATTTGGTTCACCTATTATAATTTATCTGGAACTGCAAAAATATGCATCACGACAGTAATGATAGAGGCGGAAACGATTTAAGCATCTCTATCTCTAGTGCTTGATAAATTCTCCGTTTCGAGCGAAAGACCTCTCGCACTCATCACACTGCAGGTACGGTTTTTCACCCGTGTGCGTCCACCGGTGTTTAACTAAATCTCCGCATGGATTGAAGGACTTCTAGCGTGTTGGTATGAATTTTCTAAAATGATCGATCAAGTGTAGCCGGAGGACTCGCGCGTGAGAAGAATAGTTCCAGTGCAATGTGCAATCGTTTGCCCATAAAAGCCAACTAACGGTGCACCGGCGGATCCACACAGATGACGAAATACCATACCGGTAAGCGAGAAGTCTTCCACTCGAAGTGGAGATTTGATTAGACACCGGCGGACGCTCACAGGTGAAAAACCATACCTGCAGTTTGGTGACTTTGTGAGAAGTCTTGCACTCGGAGCGGAGGTTTAAATTAACACCTTGCAGACTCGCACATGTAAAAAACCATATTTCCTTGCGATGTGTACTGGGCAAGTCTTTCGCCAATACCAGCCAACTATAACGATGCTCTGGAGGATCCATGTAGCTTCAATGACATTGTTCGTAGAAATTCTCGTACCACTGCAAAGAATATTATGATGGGCACATCAATTTTCAATGTTAAATTCTGTGTTCGTACACGAAGTGATAACGTCATTATAGGTTGTCACCATCGATTAATTTGGATTTACACATTGCTACAATAATATTACACTATATGTGTTTAATAAATAAATATAGCAATTTGCAACGTTTTAATAAATTTTTATAAGGTAATCAAAATAATACGAAATACAAAAATAAACAACACAACAAGAGATATAATAAGACTCGAATACACTGAAACTATTAACCGATGGTCGTCTTATTAACTTGAAGGTCATTTTTATTTTGTCAAAGTCGTTGGAGCACCTCCACTAGCTGGGTCTCTGTATCATTTCGATACTCTCGATAGCCATGCTGTTGAATTATTATCTTGTGATGTGATGTTTTCATAATATATTTATTATTTATGAAAAACGATTTGCATTAGCGTATGATGTGTACGTAGAATAGGATGTGATATGCCAGAAACCTTTGCGAGAGTGTATAATCACCACAACTTACCATAGTTCCATAGCTAGGAATTATTATTATATTATTGCAGGAATGCATAAAGTACAAACAGACGTACATTCGCTTTTATATATTAGTATACTACAGAAGATACACACAATAGTAATACTAATAAATTATGATAAATACAATTATTTTAGTTTTAAACTTAATAGAACCTATTAAATTTAAAAATTCCGGTTCGGTTCCATTGCCACTGATTTTTCTTACATCTATTATTATATTGTGCCATGCTTATATTTACGGATTGTATGCTCTCATTGGTTTATTTTTTACCATTAATTGTCAATATTATGATAACTTACTGGATCTTATAGCGTTGTGATATATTTTAGTGAATCCCGTTAAGTATAACAATAATATTATAGTTATCAGCTTGTTATACGATCCACTTTTATTCATGAATAAACATTGCAGCGAGTACGGATTGAACTTATAATATAGTATTATAGTTAACGACAAGACATTAAATTATATTGGACTGATTAAACCTAAATAATTGTTTGGCATTCAATTGAAGGTAACATTTACATGTGTGACATATTATCATAAACAATACACTACTATGTCTGTATGCATATTCAATTTATGACACATACATTGACTATGCATACGGACGTTAGATATAATATTATGTGTAGATGGGTAGGTAGGTAGGTAGGTAGGTACACCGTTCAAAACTGAACTAATATTTTAATATTTTACTACGAGTTTTTCTTCCAAACATTTATTATTTTTATTTGAATATATTACATAATATTATACTCTTTTTAATCGAAAACAAATTGGTACAGTAAGTTAAATTTTAAATTTAACAACTCAGGAAATTATTATTACCTACATCCCCCCCCCGCGCTGACGCTACTAATGATGATAAGAGATAAAAACTAGTTATATAACGCATAAATATTAAATTGCAATACTTAATTTTATATATACCTACCAGCTACCACATTATTTGAGTTGAATAATTGCATTATGATTCACCAGTATGCGTTGGCCGTTGGGGTAAGAACAATATTATTTGTGTCACCAAAAAAAAATAACAATAATTAATTGTACTGTTACACATAAGGGTAAGTGTCAAACCATTATAATACTGAGACAATAATATTATCGCTTACAACAGGCCATTTAGTAAATATACGATATCGTCTGGGCTTGAAACATGGCATAGGGTTCTCCTCTAAAACCATTTTTTGTTGACATTTTGCAGGGTAGTCAATATAATATATTGTCAACATAGTGTTTGCATTTAATTTTAATAGCTTTGTACTATAAACATATCTAGAACTCGTACAATGTATTATTGTAGAAGTATATAATTGATTAATGTGGTGTGATTTTGTAGACTAGAGTATTATATTATGATATATAATATGAAACTTATTAGCCTATTAGATGTTTTAAAATTCTATTGATATTTGTTAATAATTGTTAATAATTCTATACAAGTCGAGTTTGATTTTTGTCTATATTATAGGTGTGTATAGTGGAGAAAAAAAATTCTCGTCAAATGTACGCAATGAAGTACATGCAGAAGAGTCGTTGCGTTGAAAGGGACGCCTTAAAAAATGTACTACGAGAAATGGAAATATTAACCACTCTCGAACATCCGTTCCTGGTAAATCTATGGTTCTCTTTTCAAGGTATGCATCATTAAAAAATATTTAGTCCTATGTCAATAATACATATTAATAATTGAGACTGTACGCTTTTTATGACATTATACGTTTGAATCAACCGAAATGTTTTTGCAAAATACCTGCGTAGGTATTACGTTGTACGTAGGTACTTCAGTTGTAGTTATTTTGTTTAAAATAAATTATTGATCGACGCGAATTGTTCACAGATTATTTAGTTATGCTTAACTGTGTAAGGCTATGAACGAATAATTTAAATATTATATTTTATCTTACTCATCTGAGGAACAAATTGCAAATCTGTTCAACAGAATTGTGTGTAATCTCTGTATGGCATTCAGTATACTTACCGTTATACTAAAGAAACAAAAATGTCTAAGATTCCAATATTATCTCATAATAGCAGTTCAGTATAATCGCTATATTATTATAATGATATAATAAACATTATTTCTTGGTAATAGTGAACATCTTATTTGAGTTCCTCGAGTAATTTAATGGGTTAAAATCGAAATTTTGTTAAGATAACTAAATTTAGTATGAGATATTTTTATTACCGGGTTCATTAGAACCGTTATTAATCGTTGTTCAACACCTATTTTTTATACCTAGTATATTGTAATTTTATGCATATATTTTTTAAATGAGATAACATAACAATTAATATTATCTGACTAATATTTGTGAAGAACCCGATTCCGCCAAATGAGATATTGATCGATTCGACGTTTCCAACGAAAACATTTCTATACCTAGGTACTGTTACCTATAATTAAAATCTGTTACACAGTATTTTTGTATTGGACCAGTTAATATTAATACATTATTAATGAAAATATTGGTTAGCAGTATATTAAAAAAGTTTTTTGTAATAATAGTGTACCTATATACACTGAAAATAAAAACTAAGTATTTTCCAAGAAATTGATTCGGCACAAACTGGAACCATATATTATATTCGACAACTACCTTCGAAAAACAAATAAATTATAAACTCAAATTTTAAGAGAAAAGCGGTCGATGATCCTTGTTCTAAACCAAAAAAAAAAAATAAAATAATAATTCTAAAAGAAGTATCTCAAATACAAGAGGTATATCTGAGCTCATGAATGATGTCGTAAAATGACTTGGAAAAATTATTTATGATGCTGGTCGTCAAAAAGTACTACCAGAAAATCCAATAAATATTGGAGATATACACGAAGCTTTAAGCAATATAAACGCAAATACAAAACAATTGTGAAACATCAAACCGCAAAAAGAAAAATGATTTAGTTATAAGTTATATAACCGATTGCAGAAATAGAATAGTTGACAGGTTAGTTGAGTTTAATGAAATAATATCCATATAAATAAAAGGCAAATTCTTGTGGGCGTAAGCGATCCACAGCAAATAGTCTATCGAACTCTTGATTCTGAAATGTGGTACATAAGTAATCCTATATCCAAGAATATGCACTTTGAAGACAATTTTTTAAATTTTGACATTTCAAAGATGACGGTGCTAAAAAACAGGTTTTGTCGGTTCATAAAAAACGAATATTTGTTTTGCCGATATAAGGTCGCCCATAGGTACTGCTATTTGTCACAGGAAATAAAAAAAAGTTATTATAATTGGATATCATTTTAGTCCTGTACCTTTCTATTTGGACTTAAATACTTGTATATTTGGTCAAAACCACCGAATGATCGTGTTAAAAACACGTGTAGCTTACAGTATTTGTTGGAGCTTAAAACAGGGTAAATCCTCACTGGCATTATTTAATTTGTCAAGGGCAATGCCGTGCTGGATCAGCTGACAAGTATTAAATATTAATTATCAAAAGAAAAATTTGTTGTAAAAAAGAAAAACTAATAAAAAAATATTTCACCTGCCTATCTATTTTAGATTCTGAGAGGAGCGATGTCTTATTATTCTTTCAATTTAATTATGAATTCAAAAACAGTTTTAATTGGTTTAGTGTAAGTAGGTAGGTATATTGCATTGATGAAAATGAAATATGTATAGCATACCGTTTTTCATTATGTTAGAGTATAAAAAAAATTAACCTCATTTAAGTGTTTACAGTCTATATTAAGTACCTACTATAATACACTATACCAATTCACTGTCTACTTTAGTCCCGACTAACGGTACAGAGTGCTTGGGATCGTTTTATTATTCTTCTGATATTAAAATGTAAAATATTATTATTTTTTTCATTATTGAATTACAAGTAATTTAAATAAGGCTAACGGCATATTTTAATAGTGCACAGAAATCGTTTTGTTGAAAACACGAAATCGGTCAATATATCTCATTAGGATGTGGTAGAGGCGGGCGCAAGACACACGAAACATGTTACCCCTGAAATTTATTCAATTTACTGAATTCAAAACAAACTAGACGTATCTTACTGTATCGATCGATCGATTGTTGTACAACTGATGATGGGCTATTATAGTGGTATGATTTTTTAGACACATATTAACGAACGAGTTTGTTTTAACCAATGTGTAGTTGGGTAATTTAATGTTTGAGAGTTGACCCAGCAGAAGTAAAAAATTATACTAACCATAGCGAGTAACACGGAATACGATATACTAACTGCATATTATTATTGTAGTTCATTAAAAATATTTTATCGGTTATGCGATATTCGATCATCAGGCGGTATACTTTAGGACTTTGCTCGTCATTATTGTACAGCACTTGAATATTTCATCGCATAAGTTATCGATAATAATAATATTATTGTGTTCCGGCGAAACGTCAAACGACGACGACGGAAAATCAAAAACCAT